TTTGGCCAAAGCAGCTACAACCAAAATTTCTATATGTGATGGCTTGGCATAACAATGTTGATACTGTAGGTAAAGCAACAGCAGTAAAACTTCATTTTATGTCAGAAAAAAATGCATGGGATTAAGTTACCAACCATAGATTGAAAAAATAAGGCAAGAAAGGAAATTAAATCAACAAACATTGCATATATACAGGAAGATTAGTTATTAGGACCAACAAGAGTTATGGCTATACTTAAAAGATGTAGTTATAGGTTCTGCTTTACCTCACTGACAACAGGTGAATTTTTTGGTGAAGTCAGTCAAGGAGGGGTTTGGGTTAGTATATGTGTAATTCCATGGTAATGTGATTGTTTTACCTACTGTAATGTACCCCTTGTAATGTTTTCTCTTGCCACAGTGTTATGGTTTGTGTGAGTGAGATTAAAAAGCTGTTATGAGAACATGGTATGGCATAGGTATAGTCAAGCATAAAACTGGGTTTTTATAATCACTGACTCAGTCATTTCACACCTTGTCATTAGAATAAACAAGAAGTTGGAACAGCCTAGTCAGAATAATACAGGCAGTGCCATCAAGTTTCAACATGATATCCTTATTACCTCATATTGTTTCCAAACATAACCTGTTGTAGCCCAACCAAAATATCTTTTGAAAATGTTCTATCCTTAAAAAGTCGAGTGCCTTAAATAATAGATCACACACCTCTAATGGGTTTAAATTCTCTAGGGAGGCAGTATCTGTGTGGCTAAAGAGCAATGTAGCAGAAATGATTGTAGAACACAGGCAGGTACAGTCCATGGTCAAGGGATGGTTTTGGTTCCATTGCCTGAAACTTTGTGTTTGCAGTAGTATTAATCTATTAATATGGACATTTGGAAAAACAAAAACAAATCATGAATGTGTGGTTTACTTTTTTTTGTGTACATTGGTGTTTGTATTGGATTTCTTTTATAGATTAAACATTTGAAGTCAGAGTAATTTGGTATTTTTAAAAGGTTTTAAGTGAGGAAAGGAAATGGTATATGATAGAGTCCTTTTTATTTGGAGAAAGATATTGCTGCCCTAAAAAGATAGGAGATGGGAGATATGTTAGGAAGCTTCTCAAATATAAGATACTGTAGGTCTTGATCATAACAAAGCCTTGTGTAGTTGTTGAATGACATAAATTAATTTTATATTAGTTACATGCTATTATAAGGTTTGTAGAATTTGTGTAGATGTACTTTTTAGAATGGTAATTTTTAAAATCTTTTGAGATGTTTGACTCATCTTACATTTAACATTAATTTTATCTGTTGTGTTTTATGTAATGTAATGAAAGGAAGGATCTGAGGGTCAATAAACACAGGTTAAACTTATCTGCTTAAAACAAAACAAAACATTTTTTTTTTTTTTTTTTTTTTTTTTTTTTTTTTTTTTTTTTCATTATCATAACTACATTCTGTTCAAATATTAAAATATGTCATTAAAATGAATTTCTTAGTAAGACAGACATCCCCTACAGGTAGACCCAGAAAGAGAGAGTCATTGGAGTGGCTGGAGTGGATCTATAGAAGAAGTGACCAGTCACAACTCTGGCAGCAAGACATATCACTGCCCCCTGTGCCCCTACAGAACCCATATTGTAACAAATTTCAAAAAGCATATGCGCATACACACAGGAGAAAAACCTTTTTCATGTCCATATTGCCCATTCAGAACTAAACAGAAAGAAACTGTTAAAGCACACATTCGAAGGCACACTGGGGAAAAGCCTTTCAGTTGCCCTCACTGTCCCTATTTATCCTCTCAGAAAGGAAATTTGCAGAGGCATGTGTTAAATAATCATACAAGGAGGAATGATAATCCAATTTGACTTGATAAAGCTTTACTAAATTCTTTTTTGGTTGTTTACCCTGCTTTATTTTACACATTTTAGATCCAAAATTAGAATGATGGAGAGTAGTTTTGACTTTACTTTTAAAGATACCAGATAGTTTGTAATTATAGATAGTTTTCTCAATATATTTGAATATTAGTGGGTATTATTATTATTAATTATTATTAATAATATTATTATTAATTAATAGTTTGTATTTGGTCTTGTTATTTTTTATTTGTTATTTCATGCTCAAGTTATGATTTTAATTATGTTTTTATCCAACCATTTCTCTACTTTAAAGTTGCCAGCAAGTTGAACATATGTAAAGTAACCAAAAGAAATGTACAGTACTGGTTTCTTTTGTGAGTAATTAATTCATGACAGGATTTCCTGGTGCCATACCAGGCCACTTTCTGAGCAACAAGTGCAGTCAGCCACTTGAGTGACATATTAGAAGCATGGGAAACACTTATTTACCCCATTCTCCATGCTTTTAACAGTGGCATGTATCATTCATATAGAATGAGGCTAAAAAGAGATAAAGCCTACTTCTAAGGGACTGTATATCCTCACTGACCATAACCAGGCCAAACAAGCAAACAATTATTTAGTTCATATAGCTTAGTGCAGACTCAACTCTGTGCAGTTTAGATACTTTCCACCCGGTATTTGGGCCGAATTCACAATGATGTGATGAGATGTTATCTGGCATGAATGGGTTAAGTACTGGATTGATAAATGTATTTTTTTTTACAACTTTAGTTGGTTATGTTGTAGCTCTGTAGCCTATAAAAAGATGTGTTACTTGATTTATTATGAAGATTATTGTTGATTTATTATATAAGTTATTGTTTTTTGTAAGGGGTTAATTTGTTGTATTATGGCTGTTACATAACATGAGCTCAGTACATATAAAAGATAGAAAGGAAGTGGAGGTACATAGTATAGGATAATGCTCAAATTATTTTTTTAGTTTTTCTGATAAGATTGTAGAACTTACGTGATGTAGGATTGTAACCTTCTTGTTGCTCTGTATCAGATACATATAGAATAAAAAAAAATCTTCATATATTCTTATTTCCTCTTTATATGTTTAATTAGATTTTGTCCTTTTTTTTTTTTTTTTTTAATGTTCCTACCTGTGTGCCTGCCTGCTTGCCCATGTTCACAGGGTCATACATGGATGTTTAGGTGTGTGTGAGTGGGCTTGAATTGTTTGTTTGTATGTTTGTTTGATTATTTGAACATTAATTGTGCTTTTTAATTTACCATAATGTTGTCATTTAATAATAAGTCACATTTGTAACTTGGAATATTGTAAAACTTCATCAGAGGATGTGGTTGCAAAATATTACAAAACCCATCAGAAGAAAAATTGATGAACCTAATTTAAACTGGCTTTTGCATATTCATATAGTTGATTGTGGACAACTGAAAGTATTGCTCTTGTGTGAGATAATCAGTTGATTTCATGCAAAAATGAGGCTGATATAAGGAGGAACACGAAAACTAAAATATGTCCTCCCATTTTCCCAATCCAGTGCATTAAATGCTGTATCAGTATTGGGCTATCTTCAGCATTAAACAAAAATACCAGATTGGAAGGCTTTCATTTTAGGAGATTTCTATTGATACTGAAGTCTGTCTTCTCCCTTAGAAATATTGGATTGTCAAGACTTGGAATTTGTTGCAAACGCCGACACAGAGATATTGTAGCAAAGGATGAATTTGGTAGAAAAAGTTAAAAGATTTGAGGATATTTCAGTCAGTGTGACTGATATTTATAATATTGTTTATTTTATTTATAGTTTTTGCACATTGTCCAGAACATAAAAAAAAAGAAAACAATAGTAGTAATCAACATAATCAATTAACGCGGGTATATTTTGAAGCCGAAAATAAAAGATTCCGGGCAACTACAAAATCGGCGGGCAGGGTTTGCCCAGACTCTGCCTGTGTGCTGGCTGCGGCTGCTGCTGTGTTGGTGCATGAGCCCCGATACAGCGTCACACTGGGAGGACTCCCGGCAATGTTTATTTTTTCGGGTGTCTCATATGTGGGACACCCGTCGTTAGTGGGTTAAGAATTTTCTTGCGAACTGACCGTATAAGAGAGATTAGGAATCAAATGAAAATAGAATTGAAATAATCAGCTGGGTAATATTCAGTAACTTCAAATTTCAGTTTTGTAAGATAATTGTAAGGAGACATTACAATTAATTACATCTTACATAAAAAGTTCTTGGAATAATAATATATGTCATAGTAAGCTGGGCATCCTCAACAGGTAGGGGCGGACTGTAGCAGTGAGATGATGATGTGGAGAGGAGCCCCAAGTGCTGGCAAAGGCCTCGTTTCCGGCGGCAAGATTCACCAGTGTCCCTCTTGTCCTTACAGCACCAATATTACAACAAATTTGAAGAAACATATACGTACTCATACAGGGGAGAGACCATTTCCATGCCCGTATTGTCCTTTCCGGGCAATTCAGGAAGAAAACCTGAAAGTTCATATCCGCACACACACAGGAGAAAAACCATATGCATGCCCCCACTGTCCATTTCATGCAAGCAAGAAAGCTAATTTAAAAAGGCATATAAATACTCACACCGGAGTTAAGACACTTAATTGTAAATATTGTCCTTATAGGTGTTTGGATATAAATATGCTGAATGAACATTTGAAAACCCATATGTAGATGTATGTTAGATTCATTTAATAAATTAAAACAGTGGCAATGTGTGTGTGTGTGTGTGTGTGTGTGTGTGTGTGTGTGTGTGTGTGTGTGTGTGTGTGTGTGTTTTTAAGGATAGAGAAAAATATATTTATGAAGAAATGACCAAATTTAAACTGACCTCTATGTTTGTTTATGATGACGTTGATAGTGATGATGATGGTGACAATAATACCATGATTATTATTAATATTGATGATGATAATGATGATAACATTAATCATTATTGATACTGTGGGTGATAATAATGACACTGCTGATACTGCTGCTGATGATAACAAGGATTATTATATATCATTATCTTTGTCATTAACACATTGTCATATTATTATGTTAATAGGTTGTTTTATGGTTATTATTAATTTGATAGTTGATATTATTATAGTATTATGTTCATATTATT